ACACACACACACACACACACACACACACACACACACACACACACACACACACATCATAGAATATGCAACATTCACAACAGATTATCTGATATTAAAACTTCTCTGTAATACAATGTTTTCAAAAGTGCGCTTTTCCTGGACCCCAAAGTGACACTTTATTATATAAATGCCTTGAGAAAATAAGGAAACAATTACAGAATCGTTCTGTGGGTTTTCGCAGCTTTTCCAAGACGTCCGCGCCGAAAGTGCCATCTATTTCCGTTGTGTCGAGAAGTTAATGTGTTGTGTTGCGATTTTCTTTGGTGTTGTGTCGAGAAGTTAAATGTGTCGTGTTGAAATTGTGTTGTGTGTTGAGTGATTTTGTTGTGTGTTGTGGCACTTATACGCTTCCATATTGGTGAGAATCTAACAGTTGTTTAATCACTTAAGCACTTCACAGGACAAGTCAATCAAATTGGAATTATGGATCTTTCTCTAGAGCTACCTTTTAAAGAACATGTACTGCACTAAGTCTAGACTGCATTTCAGCGTATAAAGCAATGGCTATTTCATTATGCTGTGATCAAACAACTGAATAATTTGAACTCCTAAAATTGCACTTGGGCACACAGTGTAAAGATAAAGCCTGTATGCCACTCCATTAATGAGTATTTTAGATCTTTATATGGGAAAAACCATATGTCTCAAAAGACATCATTCAATGAAAAGGACCAAACTGCTAAATAAAAGTAGAAAACGTGTGATTGCAAATAACCTTATATATACCTACAAAATGTCCCAACTTGGATTATTTGCCCCTATATACATACACTGCACAGGTATTTACTGGTCAAAAATTGTGCTTGAGAAGTGCAATGGGTGCTGGTCCCTATTAAACAGACGGGTGGTTCAAATTTCAAAACCCCATAGAAATAAGCCATAGAAATTGTGAAGTCTCATGCAAATTTACCTCAAAAAGCCATTACTCAAATTGTACAACTCACCCTACTGTACTTTCAAATTTGCACGACTCACCAGAAAATACTAATAATACCTGGACTAGCTGTGTGGTGCAAATACCTTCCACTGTGAACAGTCACCTTATATGATCTCCTATCTGTTCTATGTAAAACCTTATACTAGCACAGTGAAATATATAGGAACTACTACCTATATAAATAGGTTAGATCAACAAATAAATACAAGACCCTTTCAGAAGGCATGACCTAGTTGTGGCATGACTGTGTGTGTTCTCTCACGTGTGACAGATGACTGTTAAATTTCTCTTATTTACTAAGCATATCGAGGTAAATCACTATAACATTTACCTTTACAATGTGAGCCATAACATTTTACCTGTTAATTTGAAAAAAAAAAGAGATCTTTTGTAAAGCACATGTTTTAGTGTGTGCATATCCCTGCTGCATATTTGAGAGTTCATTTGTATTCTTTTAACAATCAACAAATATTCTAAAACACAAATTAAATGATCTCTATGCACAAGTGCAGCTGTTATACCTTTCCCAAGCTTTAACAGTTGAGAAAAAAAGCGAACTTTTAAATCCCAATAAATCAAATAGTGCTCAAAATCAACTTAACTGCATAAAGTGGAAAAATCCTTTCTTTGTGATCTTTGAAATTACCACCTGCACTGGCACATGTACTCTTAAAGTATCACAGGTAATTTGCAGATGAAGTTCCACAGCACAGACATAACCTGATCATTTGGACAGGTGTCTTTTGTCCAGTAAACTGACTGCTAAGTGGGATGATACATATAACACCTATAATATACCTATATAAGCTGTGATTATCACGCTTGCTTTGGTGCTCTCCTGCCTTTCAAAATAAGCTGTATTACCTCACCTCTCCCTCCTTTCCTAGGGATTAAAGCCTGGCAGGGTGTACATTAACTTTTGAGTTTATACGGGGTACATGTAAAAGGAGAAAATTGAGCATAGTCTAGGCATGGGGAATCACTGCCATAACAAATTCAGATCACAAAACATTATGGGATTTGAGAACCAAGTATTAAATAAAGTTTAAATAACAGCGAGGCGCATCTTTCAAAAAGCTGTTTTTGTCAAGAATTTCGCCAGCCATCTCCTTGCACAAATTCAACTGATCATGTTAAGCTACTTTCTAAACCTTAAACCAATGTAATAAATCGATTTAAAAAAACTGATCTACTTTGTCTCCACTTACCTCTCTCGTATTTATCCTTTAATATTCTTAGGCTACTTATGATCCTGGCTCTGTGTGCTGCATTTAACACCCCCATGTTTCTGACGTCGGACTCAGTGGCATTTAGAAGAGCCTAGAAAACAATCAATTTTTATTATGGGAAACTATGCACAAGTGACTTTTACTGCATTAAACTATAGACAAATAAAATATAAATGTATGTAAACCTAATAAATACTGAAACTGTATGTGGTTGTTATTGTTTTTCAGATCAGATTCAGCACAATTTTATGGCAAATTCTCCTCAAAGCATAATAATTTGCAACACTTTTGAGATTTTTTTTTTCTATCATTAAAGTAATACTTTAAAAAATTCCACATTGATGTCCTTAATAAGAAATCCAAATTTATCAATTTTTCACTTATATGTTCCCATTCTTTCAAAGAGCTTTAAGAAAAAAACATTTTTCACTTAAATCCCAAACATTTTTTAATTAAGGAAACACCTGATACCTGATATGTCCTTTCCAAAAAACAAGGATGTGAGTCAAATATAAGAATAACAAAAACAAGGATGGGACTCACATATAAGAAAAACATATGCCATTTCTTGTATTCAGCATCAAATAATAATGAAAGACAAAAAAAAAAAAAAAAAAAAATCCAATAACTCTGCCACTTAATAAATTCTGTTTAGAGGGGAAATATTATATGTTTAATTTCCTTTTCAAAAAACATATTTTGTAAATAGTTTCAATTTATTTTGTTAGCATCAAATAATTGTGACAGCCAGGAAAAAAACTCAAGTACCAGAAAACTCTGCCATCAAAAATTCCATGTCTGAAGGGGAAATACTATGTGTGTGATATCCTTTTCAAAAGCAAAGATGTTATTCAAATGTAAGAATATAAAATGTCTTTTCATGAACTCAGCATTAATATATTTTGTTTGCAACAAATAATTTTTAAAAAATCATAAAAAAAGAAAGGCCACAGCACTACCAGGAAGATCTTCCATTGAGAATCCATAAGTAGAGGGGATACACTGATTGCTATTGACTTGGGCATCGTCTGCTTGTATAGATGTTTCAATGTAAAAGCAGACAAGCCAGAACATCATTTCAAACAAATTGAAGCAAAAGTCAAGTTAATGCCATAATAATGACAATCATTGTTGTTCTTTTATATAATTAAGGTTAAAAATCCAGGAAATTTCATTGGTGATTAGCCTTCTGAAACAGACACAGGTCTGATAGAAAACAAAGAATGAGATTACTCACGCTGATCTGAGAGCCAGACCAGAAACATAAGAATGACATTAAATCAATGGGTTCAGATGCTATCTCCACAAGAGCTCAATTAGCAGGAAATCATGTACAGCTTGATTTTCTCATGTTACATGGTCCAAGTATGGATTATTTGAGAAATATGGGGCTTAGGTAGAGTTAAATCATACATCATATTTTAGCTTTGAGATTTCAGAATTTGATACAGATTTCTGTTCAAAAGATAATTGATTGTTTTCTAGGTTCATCCAGTCAAGTAAAAAATAAGAAAAAAAAGATTGTTATTGTATCAATGCAATTAATCATCCGATAAGTTTAATGACAGATTTGAATAGTGCATGTTAACATTTTTCATTTTCATTCTCTTTTTCCTTTTGGAAGGGGGATACTTTCATAGAGAGGACTACTTTATTCAAATAGTTGTGCAATCTCCAACTAGACTGAAATTCAATGACAAATATTTTTCAATGTGTGACTTGATATAGTCTATAAATTTATCTACTTAAAGAACACATTACATTTTAAGAATTCACTGCACAATCTTGTAAGGTTCATTTGCACACTAGTCAATACACATTACCATCACATCTAGACACATTTGACTGTAACATTAGGTCTTCTCTAACACACTCAGCTTTTATCTCAGGGTGAACTTCACACATTGGCTTCCTGATGCATGTGGGTATATGCTAGTGTTTAATGATTATGTGATCAATTATCGCATGTTCTGCTTGCAAGCACTTCATTAGTGATTTGGTCATGCTACACATGCTACACGGTCTACACAGTTTACCTTACTGTACTTTTGTTATACAGGTCTGTACTGGTACAAAGAAGTGCTATTACCATAAATTAAGCTTATCTTGTGCCTTTTCATGCAATAAATGAAGTTCACTCAAAGAGAGAAAACTAAGTATAATTGTAGAAAGGTACTACTCGGTGTTTTAGTGATGCAGTAAAAGTAATGGCCCACACAAATACCACTTCCTCATACCTACACAAGAAAAATTACCTAATTACTTGAAATAATGACTCCACCTCTCAAACTGCACCCATCAGTTTATACCTGTTTGCCTTCAGTTTATTGGAAAGTTTCACAGAAGTGGCCAAATGTGCTATTAGCTTTATAGACAATTTGTTTTCTATAAAAGCTGGCAGAAGTACTTATATTAAGATGGCTGTGAATAGTGAAGTTTCAAATTAAAAATTGACAGTAGTGCTAAAATGTCTCTGGTAGAGACTGATTCTCTTAAATGTAAGGCTTAGAAACTATGAATGAAAGAATTGTCGTTTTTTTTTTCTTTCTTTTTTTAAAATTACTGCTAATATAATCTTTCCAAAATGGCCGAGTTCTCAATTACAACTTTACCTCCACTCCCGTATATCTCTCGAACATGTTGATGTATTCCGGCAGTCCAATTGTTTTCAGCCAGCGATCTATGGGGATGTGTTTGTTGGAGGGCATCCTCACAGGCTCTGAAATCACAGATAAAATCTTCATAAACATCTAAATATAAACAGTGAGATTTGCCCTCATAGAATGAATTTGAGATAAAGTGGTAATGAGGGTATGGCGCCCCATAATCTTCCATCTGCAGATCAAATGAAAACTTACTAATAAAGAGGGGTACATTTTTCAACCTCTAAACCAGCCTCTATCTCTCACAAATTCTGAAAAATTCACTCTCCACATACATAGGCAGGTATATACCACACAAATAAACTTTCCCTTCTCCCTTCTTTTTCCTTGCCTTTTAAGAAGCATGGGTTCACATCAAGAGGAATTTTACCAATTCTCCAAAAATAAAAATCATTTTCTGCACAGGTAACATAGATTAAGTAAGTTTCCCAACACTGACTGTATTACCTTGAATTATTTGCTGTAATAAGGTAGCGGAAATACCAATGGAGTCTAAATGGCTACTGCAAATTTACTTTGTTCATTCAATCCATGTGCTATATTTTCACTCTTCAAACACCTTTCAACATATGTACCTTGCTTTAGGTTTCTAATACAGTCATCATATTGATAATGTTCAGATATAAAGTAAAATACAAATAAAGAGTTGAATAACTCTAGACATACATATATTTAGTTGTCCTACCTGACAAAAAATCTTAGTGGAACTGAAGTTACCTTTTTCCTCAAAGGAAATTGAGAAGTGCAAGGTGTGTATCTTTAGTCCACTGTCTTTTCATCTGATGAAGGGGATAAATTCCTGCATGTTTTCATGAATTATTACCAAAAAGTTATATCAAATGGCAGCTTAGTTGCAAGCAGTTTTCTCCTTTCTTTAAACCACCAGCATATCAATATACAAATGCTTGTTTTTGAATAATTAACCTACCCTGAACTGTTAGGTTACAATCACAACTTAACAATAATAACACAATTTGGACTAAAGTCAAAAGTCAAGTTAAACAGCTAACATAACACGAAGTTTTCAAATTTGATTTCAAAATACTGGTAACAAGGTAGGGCTATTGTAACCAAATTGGTTTGAATAGTACAGGTGAAATTCATTATAAATGCCATAATAATGTTTTACAACCTGTAAACATCACAATCACAATTAAACTTGTTTAAATTGAAAACCCTTATACAATATTATATACTGAAATAATTCTGAATTAGTTAAACCTTCAGTTTCCATTGCTTAGACATTGACTTTTTCAAATCAAATGAAATTAGGGACCTCACACAGAAAAACCATTGGTTCACTGAATTGATAGCAAAAGACTGCAATACCACAGACAGAACATCAAAAAAGCTATTATCATGGGGGAGTCCTGATAATCCCAAGGTTCATTGGTCTGAAAAATTTTTTCATGCCCCTGAGTAACTTTACTTTATTGCCAGTAAACTATATACTTTATTTAGACATTAATTTAGACTATTGAGCCTTTGGACCAATGAATCTTCAGACTATTGCTATGACCCCAATATAACAATGATATGTGATCTGCACATCAGCATGTTGTGAATTATTTAACAGTATGTCTTAGCTTGTAAAATGAGGAGCTTTGAAAAAATTGCCTAGCAGCGTGAACTGAAGGATTATGACATTTTGTCATATATCTAGTCAAAACTAGTTTTTGTCTGAACACATCTTAAATTCACCATGAAAAATAAAAAAGCTTCATTTAACATGTAAAACATCAGAACAGACATCAATATATTATAAACGTAAGATTAATACCTTTCAGCATGACCAGCAAATCGGGAAGATGTGAGACTATAGCCCCAACCACTTGCCTTAATTCTGTCAGTACGAACTGTAATATGTGCCATCCACAGTTGACATACCAAGCATATCAGACATAACACCCACAGTCGCACACCAGCAGTCTACAAATATACCAACTAGAACAAACATTTTCCTTGCTCAAACATGTGTGAAAAAAGCCAAGACCTTACCAGCAGGACAAACTGTCACATGTTTTAATGGTGCCAGTATTCTGTCTAGCTATCTCTGTACTAGTATATATGTATGTTAAGTCAGCTTTTGGGAGATGTAGTATACCGGTATAGAGTCAGACAGAGTCAACAGGAGGGTCAAAGGAGGGGGATAGTTTGCAATATTTCAACGAGAGAGAGAGTTAGAGAAAGAGAGAGAGAGAGAGAGAGAGAGAGAGAGAGAGAGAGGGGCTAATACTTTGGGATATATAATTCGGGATTTAATAATCTACAAGTCTGAAAGGTCTAACACTGAAAGCAATATCAGTCAGCAAGACTTGCTTATTTACAAAATTAGCATTCAGTTTTCAACAAATGGCTTTTTTTACCCCTTGTGCCCTCAAATTAATGGAACCGGCAGGGCAGGTAATTGGGGAAATATTACAGGAATTCCTAAAGTTGGTCACCAATACCACAGCTATGCCCAAACCCACTGTGAAGTAAGCCAGGACTTTACCCTGTATTTCACAATGCTGCAAGTGACATCAGTTTCTACAAATCTATGTATATGTCAGTGGGTTTTTACCTGTTTATCAGAGGATGTAAAATCGATGGTGCTTGACTGCATCAAAGAGTACGCGTGGGGTGGGGGGGAGTGGACACTTCATGTTTGATACTTATTTTAAAACACATACACCGGTATGTACCTGTACATTTCTTAATCATTATTGACCATATGACCATAAGCATAAATACCAATGTGTTTCCCTTACCCCCCCCCAAGAACAGTATTGAGGGCTTAATCACAACTCATTCTTATATTCTGTAAAAAAAATACCCTCCATGCCGCAACCTAGATAACTTTATGATATACAGAACACCTAAAAAAAATTCCCTCAAGCCTCCACCCTCACCCAATCCTTGAAAAACATGAGTACTCTAAAACTGAAAGTGTGTGTGGTTAAAGTGGTGACAACTAACAAGTTGTTTAACCACAATCTGTGTCTTATTGACTCAAACAATTAAGGTACACAAGATATGTCTGGACAGGAACATGTACCTTTGAAGGTGGGGTATTAGGGATAGGTGTTTACTTATAGGTGAGACAGCATGTTTAATTCAAAAGGTGTTCACTATTATATAACAACAGAGCAAACGTGACAGTTGCTATTTAATTAAAAACTATTGAGATCTAAAGACCAAAACTGACTTAAAATAATAAAGTCCATGTATTTTTATATTATGCTGCCATAGGATTAAACTCATTTCAGCAAAAAGAGATACTATTAAAGCATTAAAGAATGAATCTAATATTTCACACTGCTTTTTTATTTAAAAATAAACCAATCAATTACAATTACTCATTAAGTGATATAAAAAGTATATCAATTTCCAAACACTTTTTAACTCTTAATAATGAATCAGTCGTGTGATCAAAGTTTATTTAATGAAGGGTCTTAAATGTCTAGCCTCCTACCACAGGTAAAAATTGTGGTCTCTTTGGACACAATTAATATCTTTATCATCACAATTAAGAGAGAATGAAAAAAAAGCTACAAGTAATACTGTATTTTACAAGATTTTTCACCCAGTAGTTAAGCAAGCAGCAGAAGCATTTAGTAAAAGGTGGAGAAAAAGAACCCCTGTTGAGACACTCATTAATTATAGGTCTAACACTTACATGAAAGAGCAAACAGCGTCACCTACTATTACTTCTTAGCATCTAAACAAGAAAAACCTGTTGTGATTAAATGTTTTGAGATATTTTTGACACGATGAAAAGATATTCAACATTCAGGCTTCTCCTTTTTCTGCCCTTTTCTTTAATGTGGTGGTGGTAAAAAAAATATTTTCTAAGCCATGCATCCTTCAGCAAAAGCCTCACCCTTTTTATGCCACATGGAAATTGTGACAGCTAGGATCCATCCCTTTAAACCATTTATATTGTACACTCAACAAAGACATGAATGCAAGAATTTTGTCTTTACAAAAATTCAGACAAATGCTCATGCATGCACATGCACAGATGTACGCGCATGCATGCATGATGCACACACAGACATTTATTTTATCTCTTATACACAAATTTAAAGCACGGGGTATATTTTGGATTTAACAGTAGCATTTCTTCTTGTCATCTTAAATATCTAAGATGGCCATCTGACCACTTAGTGTAACAATGTCCACTTTATACCCCACTGCAAATCACCTTTGACATGCAACTCTGAGCACGGTGCCCTTTGGTAATTCGGATTTAGTGGGCGTTTGGCGGGAGAAAGAAAGTAAAAAGAGCTATCAACATTTTATTGACTAGAACTACTTTGGCAATGGCCCCAAACTGTTGGTCTAAGTCTATTCTACGATAAATATGTCAATCGAAAGTACTTATATATGTTTCCCAATGACCAACCAAAAGTGAAACGAGGAACATTTCACAGATTTCTGAAATTTTTACTATGAGCTAGCACAATATTACAAATAAAACTGAGCATTTCTAATACAATGACTGCATATCTCAACGATAATTGTTTGATTGCACTTAACCTTTTTATTATAAGGAATGAACTTCAATGACAAGTGTTTTTTTCTCTCAAACTTAGCTTTAGTTCATTAACCTAACATTTAACCCTGTACATATTTATAAAATTACTTTAAAAATCCCTCCATCCCCCCACATACACACACACATCCCCCTCTATCCACCCATTCAATCCTACCTTTCAAGCATAATTACTCTCCTGAACTACCCGTCAGGTAATTACTCTACTGAATTACCTTTCAAGTTGTGTTCACACTCACATACAACAATATTTTTAGTGCACTGGCCATACTTCCCTTAAGCTACCCCAGCCATGAATGGGGGGAGACCGGGGGCACAGACATGCTTGTCATACAAATAAGAGACTACAAAGGATCGCACACTCCAACTATTTTCTCTGTACAGCATATTAAGTAAGTGGGATGCAGTCATTCAGGTATTAGGTGGGTTAGATTATAACACCTGCAGCAGTGTTTGAGTGTGCGTGCATGTGTATGCGTACGTTTTTTGTGTTGCTTTCCATATTATTAACTTCATCAGGTGCACGGTGTGATGTAGAGGTTTTGTTGCATACTGGTATATTGTACACAGGACTTCAATAGAGAGTTTAATATATAGTGATTTAACAAAGTATACTGTTGCCTACATGTAGCACATAGCCTGTGCAACAATTTTAATTGGAGTTTTCTACAGCACCGTCTCTCAATTTATTTTTGTAATAAAGACTGTATTATGCATATTGTAACAAGTGTAGTATGTCAGCAACGTAAAATTTTTGATACATTTAGTATACACAAATATAAGGGAGCTAGAAAATTTGGGTACCATTTCTGCTACAAAGCCTACCATCAATACCTTTACACTCTACTGCATGTAGAATTTCAAAATTTAATTTCAGTTTTTATTTTGTATTTGAAATAAAGACTGAAAAACATGCAAGACAGTAAATTAACACACAGGATCTATCACCATCTATTAGCATTACTAAATAGACAGATGCAACAGGAAAAAATTGGCAGGTTAACATACACTTATTTAGTAGAATGTGCCTGCTGATTGACATACCATGTTGACAAACTCAATACTGTGCAGTGAAGTTGAGTCGGTGCAATGACTAGGACAGATAATTACACTGTAATGGACACCTTCTAATTTTATTACACCCACACTGTAATCAGGGAGGGCACGGTAGAAGCGTATTTACAGGTATGAAAATGTGACATGCATGGTGTCAATATTCCCAGGCTTGTTAACCCATCAGGTGGCTATGAATAATATTAATATCAAAGCTATCATATGCCTTGATTGGCCATTACACTGCAGTGACAACAGACTTGTGTTCAGAGAGATACCTCTGTCTATAGCTGTGTCCTTTCTGTTTAATTTATCAATATGGAAAGTAATAAATGGATGGATGGATGGATGAATGAATTAACTGATGAATGAACATTGCTGCAAGCCAATTTATGAAGATATCCACGAGTGAAAAACAAAACAAAAAAAAGGATGAATAGAAGTCCTTCCAGTAAGAATCGATCAATGCAAAAAATACTACAATACCCACCTGTTGTTGTGCTTGGAAAACTCAAAGAACGGTGGAAATGTGTCATCTTGAATTCCAGTACTTTTCCCACTTTCTATCAACAATAGAAGGACCTACTAATTCAGTCTAAGTCTGGGTTGACACATTTAAGCCAGGCTTATTTGTACAGCACTGTTCTGCAGGCCTTTATGTAAATAGCTATAAGAAGCATGCACTCGTCAAATAAATCTTGATCTGTGTCAAAGTCTGTGACATCAAGTATTTCTGCAGTAATTGATAAGATTTGTCACTTTTTCATAAGTGTCGCTGGTGGAAATTGTTTTCTTAATGGATATGTGCTAGTTTTTTTTCATTAATGATCCTCCTCATATTGAACCGTTCTTGATCCCATTTCCAGTAAGGAGCCTAGTGAAGCAATAACACTGGTGCCTGTAGCGCTTGCATAATAAATCCAAGACCAATTTCTTATATTATCCTTTCTTGTGTAAAACACTGAAATATTAGATTTTCATCTTAATAATAATGTATAAGTTGAACAGATATAAAGACTTCAAAATGACAACATTTCTTATGTTTTTAATCCCCAAAAATGCCTCAAGGCAACAATGTCACATATATCTTTTCGTAAATGTCACTTCTATTTTCAGGTGAACACTAATAACAGATTGCAATATCCTAAATGTCAGGAATTCTAACCCTTATTTCTCCAAATAATATCAATATTTTTATAAAAGCAGCATCCTGTTCACTTAATTACAAAACCTCAATCAAAATATACCTTCCAGTTGTATCATCAATTTTTTAAAAAACATGTTGTTGTCTGTTGTAGAACTAGGATCATGTCAGGAAATTTGCTTCAAGCAGAGAAGGAATCAACTTTCTATCTATCAAAGCAAGTTTTTTGCAAACAAAAAAATTTAACCCGAGAAAGACCGGCAACATCTTCAAATCTATCAAAACATGGCATTCACAAAGCAATTTAGAATTTGAGGAAGAGTGGCAACATGTTCCTATCTATCAAAACAAAGTACCCACAAAGTAATTTAAAACTGAAAATGAGTGGCAGTAACTCTGAGACTGAATTATCTCTCAAAACATCAATTAATCTATAACCTTTATGGGGTATTTATTCAGTGATGGTAGGTCATGCAAAAGAAATGTTTTACACCACACAAAAAATGTCTAGTCTCAGAATGTCATAAAATACTTTTCTAACTACATTAAGCTACAAGTACCTGCCCCCCCCCCCTCCACCACCCCTCCCCTTGTTGCCATTATATTGATTTGACAGTTCATACAGGCCCTGTTCCAATGTATCAAAATGAAGTCAAGCCCTGAAAATTATTTTTTTTTAGAAAAAATAGTGTAACAACTATGCATCACAGTTTACTTTTAATGAAGTTAAAAATGCATTTACTAACTAGTTGTTTTAGCAGGTAAATTCACTTCAAATGCCAAGTATTTTTTTTTTATTTATCTTATGTTACTTTATGTTGCCAGTGGTTTCAAAGTTGTCCTCAAATGAACTCTCACATCTTGATAAACCATATCAATGTCAGGATGTGCAAAAAAATCAAACTAGCCAGGAGGTCTGTCAGTATATGTTATCTATCTTCTATCTGCCTAGTTAAGTTGACACTGAGCTACACCCTGGATTTCAGGACTTCTTAAGGCAATTCACCAACAAATTAACAAACTGATTCTTGGTTTCATTCTTAGAAACTGTCCCGATGTACCACAGCTGAGAAAATATTAGGGTATCCTTACCATTTTAAAAAACTTAAACAGTCCCCCTGCCTGAATCTGTTAAGTACTGCAATAAACCCACTGGCCTCTAGATTAATCCTGACACTTTTACATGGATTCCCCACACCACTCTGTATTGTATGAAGTAGACATTAAATCACTGCAATCACAGTATTTTTCTCCAATAGTTGGTCATCCTGTCATCTGAGTGGACAGACTGACTGGTCAGTGCACTGACCCATGGTACAGAGGGCATTGGGCTATCAAACGGTGAGTGTAGACAAGATAATCAAACCAAATCTTCAATAAATCTATGTTTGAAATCACAAGGGTATGCAGTGTCAACAGCCTGAGCAGCATCTAACTTTGGACAAAATCCATAGGTCTTATTCCTGGACTGCAGAAGTTGCTTCTATCCTAGTAATCAGTCAAATTCTGTTACTTTTCCCCACGTGTCACATAAGAGTAGCACAGGCAGGGTAACTTATCCAAAAAATTAACGACAAGATGCCTTGAAGGTGTCCCTGACAGCACAGCAAAAGATAAAACCATAGGAACTAAATTAAAGACCGTTTTCCTGTTCTGAAAATTAACTTTGGCCTCTTCTTACTTCAAGTTCAGCTGGATCCTTCGAGGTGGGCGTATCACTAACCAGCCAAAATACTAAGCATTAAAGCTCAACTATGCTTCCTTATCTGTTCATCTCTTCACCCCGTCTCACTCCGAGACCAGCCAGTACCTGGGTGACTCTCGAAATCTTTCTCACCCTCTCTCTACATGCTTGGCTGAGCAAATAGGAAGCAAGGCATGTAAAAGGGCGACATACTGTAAGCCCATACTGCATCATTTTATTTGCAGCATCATATTTTCGGGGAGGCTAACATTGGCAGAAGTACTGTACAATTTGTTGAAGACTTAAGTGTTTATATGTATCTTTTAATAGCTCATTTTAATATAAATTGATTCTTGCATATGCATTATTTCTATAACATTAAAAATATAAACAAAATATACTTCTGTTGAACATTTGAAAAAAATAAGAAACAGAGAAAGAGAATAAATAAAATAAAACAGAAAGGGAATATAAATTGACAGTATTTTTTGGGTAAGTGTTGTCATGTCTGCTAATACAACTAATACCTTGATTACCTCGAAAATTCTCTACAATAAAAAAATAAAGTTGGTAAAAAGGAACAGTTTTACGTAGATGAACACTTGTATTAAATTACCCAGGTTAAGGTGTGATGAATTACACCTGTAGTTGACTCCAAAACATCCCCCATTTCCTGCCAGAGGTGGAACTCGTTAATGTTATTTAAATTCACGCATCAGCTATTAGAATTCCCCATTATCACCCTCATAAAAGCTCCCTTCACAGCGACATCAGAGAAAAACATTAAACTAGCATGCTTTTGTACATGCTACAATTAGCCTCAAGGATACAATATGTTGCTAATCATATCTGACTTTAAAGACATACAATTTATGACAAAGTCACAAGAGCAATTACAAATACAAGTGTGGAATTTCTACTTACTTCCTGGGTACATATTGTTACTTACTTACATCTAAAATATGTTGCTACTTTTCACATTCATCAAACTGTCAAATACCAAGAAAATAACAACTGTTTAAATTTTTTTCACTTTGGATCACTTGTTCAGTTATGTCATATTTTCCATGAGACTTGGCTTAATTGCCATCTGTCATTCCTACTAAGCTTGTCATGTGTCACCATGTCATCTGCTGTCACCTGCTATTAGTGAGATCTTGAACCATGTACCCCTTTAACTATTCCTTTAATGTGTCAACAGTCAATGTTAACTAACACTGTCATATTTGTAAAATGATACATAAATCATATTATAATTGAGTGTGCATACTACTGTATAATTCTTATTACAATATTTCCTACTGCTATAGTGCATCCTCCCTAGCATGAAGATGGTTTCCACTGGCTGCAAACAAATCAGATTTTTTTAACAATCAAAAATAATTTGTCATGTTATTACATGTAACAATAGAGTGACACTTGTGAGGAAAGTACCTTTAGAGCCAAAATGACTACAATACATCAGCAGATTCAAGGGTATGCAAAGGTCACAATCACATGTGCTCCCCTTCCCAGTTAAGCTTTCTGAAATAAAATGTTTCAAAAAAAAAAAAAACTGCATGTAATCATGCAGAGTGAAATCATAAAAAAAATGGAAAAGAAAAAACTATACAACCCCAAGCAAAAGCATGTGTCTGACAATTTTTTCTGCTTAGAGTTGAAAACTCCAAAATAAAATCACAAAATATATATGATAAGCACTTATATATATATATATATATATATATATATATATATATATATATATATATATATATATATATATATATATATGCACAACCCTATAACTAATCAGTATATTGAACAAAATTATACACTCCATCTTTCACTGTACACAAATATTTTTAATCTCTCCCAAAGAGTTCTTCTTGTAAAGATGCACTCTGATCTAACAAATAAAGTGGTGATCAAATCTCATGTCAGTCTCATATCTCTCTGTAACTCCTCAACTTCAAAGTGAAAAGGGGTGGAGATGTACATCTATTTGGAAATGGCTACAAATCACTGCTACTTAAAAAAGGGGCTCATTGACTTAATATTATCTTAATGACTAAAGTGCACGAGCTGATGACCATATCAGAGGGTTAAAGGATGTAAAATAAAAAGAAAGAAAAAAATCAGACAAGTTGTACAAGTGGAAAGCTGAGAGACTTGTCAGTCGAACCCACAGCCCATGATTTATTGCCAGATAAGAAATACATAACACAGTTTTGTAATCTTTACAACAGGTTGAATACACTTAAGCTAAAAACATGTTTTTTTTCTGCAATACTACCTTCCCTCCATGAGTCCACCTGCCTCTAAAACACAGCACTCTGCCTTTAAAATGTGAAGTCTAAACTGTTGCCAACCAAACAAAATAAAACGTAGATGCTAATGTTTAACCCTTTTCACCCCTTCCTCACTGAGTAATGTGAAAAAGAAAACCAGCATATAGAAAAAAAGAAAAGCTCCACTTAAAAATGTGAGATTTAAATCTTTTCCCATCAACACATTTCCCATACTGATGTAAAGCAAAATTCTTATCATGAGTCACCCAGAAAAGGTTTACATTTTATAAAGGCATGCAGATCCCCACAGTGCAGCAAATACCATGCATCCATTCATATTTTGTTATAGGAGCAGTCTTTGAAATTTCATGCTGTTTTTTAATTAAGGCTCTTGATTAGCCTTCTTGAAGGCAAAATAGTAGCCCCTGAGTCCCTGAGTGTTGATTGTGACTCGTCTGATTTCTAGTGTATGTTCAATCTCTACAGAAATTGCTCTGAAGGCCAGGGTGAAACAGAGTAATCCTTGAAAGTGTGTATCTGCTGTTGTAAAGAATCAGAGACTATATGTTTTTTTTTTACGCATGAGACATGACGTTTCATTCTTGAATCACCATCATTGTACAAGACACAATGTTTTATTGTTTTATTGATGCTGACATTTTTTAATTAATAAAAATCTATTTTTAATGAACTACATGCAGCATACATTTTAGACAGGATTAAAAAAAAAACTAAATAACTCTAGCTATTTTCACATTTCAGTTATATTACAAAACCGAGCCATACACTTGATAGAATTTACCGTTTAGATGTTAATGTTATACAACTTTAAATTTAAAACTAAAATGCAAAAAATGGTTTATTTATTTAGAGAAACCTTTATTTCTCTGCCTGAGTTAGAAATGCCAGCACATCAATTGCAGTGTAATTGCTAATTCTTAAGGAAGTTTCATGCAGGTTTTCACTGCCTAACCTGAATTTCAACAACAGACTAATCCATCATCAACTATCCAGTTATCCCCAGACAGACTTCGCTGTCATGTTGTCTTCAAAACACCCGTCCATTAGCACACTTCCAACCTCACAAAAGATTTTTATCAAAAGAAACAGGTGATATCTGAAACCCTATGATAGCCTTTTGAAGAGTGCTGAAAGAAATAAACTTTTATTCTAAAATAATCAAAATTGATGCACCCAGAAATTAAAGAATCAGATGACAATGGGTCATGAAGTACCAAACAGGCAATATAAATCATGTAGCTTCGAAAGCAGACGACATCCTAAGGTTCTCTCTTTGACCTCACGGGGAATGAGGTCAACCAAAGGTCAACTAAGGCAACTGAGTGCTCATCAATCAAAATGCAGTTATAGAATAAGAAATGTCACACTCGGGAGTCAAAACATAATTTAAGAAGTTGTAGGCCTCAGGCTTTACTAGACTAAATAAAAAGGCATGACTATGGAGTAATATTTCAAGGGGCACGATAGAGACATTTGGGGGAAGGGGTGCAAATAATTCCTTGTCACCCTAAATTTTGGAGTTTACTGCAAACCAACTTCATTATTATTAGCATTAGGGTGTTGCTAAATGACTTAATACGATTCTCCTCATAAATGGTTTTAATTTCAAAATGAAGAAGCTTAATTGATACATGTACTAGGTACAGGTAACTATATGTTCTCAGGCCCGTAGCCAGCAATTTCAGAAGGGGGGTTCGATTTCTGAAAAAGTGGACCTTTTACTATAAAATCCTCAAGTACATAGATCAAATTTTACCCAGAGTGGACCTTTTCCAAGCAAAAAGGGTGGTTCTTTCGAACCCCCCGAACCCCCCCCCCCCCCCCGGCTACGGGCCTGGTTCTCTTGTAATGAAGTGTGTACATCAAAATGCTTAATTGAGATAAGATTTGGTTATTCACTTGAATAAAGCAGATACTGTCAGCAATTGAATAGCAATATATGTATCATAATTTCATTGAAGTCTCATTTCGAAGACTAGCAAATTTGTGAGAATATATACACTTATTTCTCTTCTCAAAAATTAAGATGGTCAGCATCAAAACTGCTATTTTTTATCAAAGACATTATAAGCACCTTAAAAACTGCATTAACTATAATGCAAAATTGCTGTATAGGAATTTAGCCGTTTCCTCTGTATTCCCAAGCATCCCCCAGATGATTGCTCTTCAATGCAATCCTGCAACTATCTAAAACCAATTGTATATGTACTAACGCCTCGTCTTTTTCCAGTAACCAAACCTCATGAAATTCATTAAGTCCTAAACAGATTTTCTAAAAAAACTTTTGTCACAGGTTCAAGTGAATAAGAGCATTCTCCAAATAATTTACATAATTCATTGTGCTTAATATGTCAGTTACATTCCTGCAGATGAGCCTTTAAAAGGATCTGGTTCTGGACCGGATATAGGGTATTGTCTGCCAGACAAAGAGTGTCTTTCTAGCCCTAGAAGGCCCACTCAAAGTTCAGGACCTGTCTTGAATATAAATAAGATACCAGCTGCAACTTTGAGAATCAAGTTAATATATGCTAAGCCATCTATTTTTTTTTTTTTTTTTGACAAATTTGAAAAAACCTAATTACAACTAGTACAAATCTTGGATTATTTTACTCTTACTACTGGTATGACATTGTATTCTCCCTCCCCCCCTCTCTCTCTCTCTCTCTCTCTCTCTCATGCATAAGCTTAATCAATACCAAAAGACAATGTATTACATGTTGAAACTGTAATTAACATTCTGATCACTTAAGCTTAGGACCCAATATGTTTAGTTTAATTTAAGCTTTGCATAAGGAGTTTGGGAGGAAATCAACACCAAAGTTTATACCTGCAAAGAAGACAGTACGTATCAGGTTTTACATTTACCCAGACTAAGTCCACAACAGCAT